TTCCGATGTTCAAGCGCACCCGTTATATTTGACGCTTGAAGGTCACATCTCGGTCTTGGCGGAAGAGGGGGCGTAGCATCCTTCATTGCTGTCGCCATCGCACCCGCCACGGAGGCGACAATACGAGCAAACGTGAATTAAAACCCCAAACGAACCTGGATAGAAGTCTGCACAAAGTGCTGTATTCAGAAACGTCCGTATTTGATTAGTTGTGTTTGGTACTGGTAAAATGCTGATATCGATTTTGTGGCACACATGTCAAGGTATTAGTGGTGGTTCAAAATAAGAAAAATATTTTGAAGACCATATAAGCTGGTTTATGAAGGAACCTCCTTAAACGATTTCGTTCGATTCAAAGGGGAAAAAGTCACAAAGTAACATAATGAAGGAATCCGAAAAAGCAGAATACATATGGATAGCGAAGACAGGCCTCCTAAACAGGCCTCTTATTATGGCCCTCGTGAGGTCAAAGTTATTCGCACTGTATAGAATAACCATGGCAACTAGAATAAAATGTCCCCCTAAGAGCGCAATACTATCCCTGGGTCGGTATGTTCCTCTCTGAAGGTGATTTACAAAAGAATTGAGTTCATAATAAAATATTAGCATAAGTGCGTTCGTTTATCGTGGGTTTTTGACAGTACTACTGACAATACTACTGACAACCATTTTCAAAGTTTATTAAATAATCTTCGCAGCACCATTATTTTGTAAGAACATTCCAAGTATTTTTCTTTATTTTTTATGAGAAAAGGAAGCGAATACCAAAAGGGCATACAATATAGAGAAATAAAAAAGTGGGAAGCAGAAAAAGGAGAGAAAAAAAGTGTGAAATGGAGAAGTGAAATAAAAGGTACACAAAAAAGGGGGAAAATGACGAGAATGCAAAGCTTACTAAAAAAAGGACAGAGAAAGTATACATGTATACAAAAACCCGACTATAAAACAAAAAAGAGCGAAAGAAAGGAGTTGTGATGTATATGTATGCATACAAATTGTATAAGTACTGCTACGTATACATGCTGAAGCATATATGGGAACACATGTAAGTAGTTATGCGTATGTACATTTATGCTCGTAAGCATATATATTTATGAAGAGGATCTTGGAGTCGATATCAGAGAGGAGAGGTGCGTAAATTATAAAACAAAAAACTTGGCAGATTCCACGTACCTGAGAATTGACATTATGCGAAGCATGCGGAGAGAAATTGACCGTGTTGCGATTTCTTTTGTTTTACGACACGTCATGAAATGACGCCAGATATATGTACAAGTGTTGCACGCACAGACATATGTTGAAGAGTTGCTGATGTTTATATAACCAGTTGTTTGCACATGCGCAACGATATCAACTTGAACATGCGTATTAGCAACACCAGAAGCTGATATGGAGCGCTGATGCTCGCGAGGATGCTGGCCCTGGACACTGCTACATACATCAACTTCAGCGCAATGCACTTGACCCCACTTCACGTTAACCTGACGTGACGGCTGTATCAAGAGGGTACATGTGTATTGTTCATAAAATATGGTTGGCAGCACTGCAACTACTATATTGACGTTTCATGAACATTAGCGCCTGTGTAAGAAGAAGTTCCGACACCTGGCGTAGCTCTGTGGTAGAATGCTCGACTGCCACGCAGAATTTCTGGATTAGATTCCTGTTGGGACCCTGAAATTCATTATTTGCATTCGTCTTGGCGTTAAGGCTGCTTGTGTAATGTTTTTCTTAACACTGACATTTATTTTGTGCCTTCGTTGGGTCGACGCTATCGATGTCGGGTATTGATTAACGCTGACGCGTTAAAGCTGCCCTTGAGTGTTTTCGTCGTTCCTCGGTAGATAGTAAGTGGCAATCACCTGTGGCACATACCCGCATATCAGCCGCACATACCCGCCCGTGGGTACGTGCCACTGTCTGGCGGGAAGTGTTTGACGGCGTAAGCGACAGAATTGTGACATTATTCATGTTTTGACCAAGGCGTCATATTCGTCATAACATCTTACATTCGCATGCAAGTTTTGGTTCACACAAGGGGGTGTCCACGAAAGCACCGAAACGTAAGCGGCTAGATAGACAAATAGATGGGCTCAAAGTCTCTGAAGTTCGCCAAGAAATGCTTCGCATTTGAAAGAAGGACCAAAAGTTAACTCAAGAAATCAGGAGGAGCATAAAAATGCCAGCCCAGATGGTGATACACAAGAAAGTGGAGCGAAGCACATAGAATGAAAAGACAAAGAAGGCCCCGCCATGGGGGTCTAGTGGCTAAGGTATTCATCTGCTGACCCGCAGGTCACGGGATCGAATCCCGGCTGCGGCGGCGGCATTTCCTATGGAAACGGAAATGTTGTAGGCCCGTGTGCTCAGATTTGGGTGCAAGTTAAAGAACCCCAGGAGGTCGAAATTTCCGCAAGCCTTCACTACGGCGTCTCTCATAATCATATCGTGTTTTTATGACGTTAAACCCCACAAACCATTCAGTTAAAAGACAAAGACGAAAGGAACGGAAAAACCTAATTCGGAAGGGTTTGGGACAGGGGTGTGATGAATGAAGAAAACGACAACGACGGAAGTGCGGGGCAAGGCGCGTGTAATCTGCGCGTGCGTGTCAGCGAATCAGCTGATGACCTTTGGTGGCCCATAGAGGTGGCGTGCCACGATTGGGCCACGTGTGACCATTACGTGGCAGTAAGCTTTATGGCTGGGGACGAGCCGAAGCAGCGGCAGACGGGAGACAGCGGGCCGAAGCGTCGGACGCAGGCGATCCAGGTTCCGGCCAGGGAACGCGGCCGTCCACGCTGCTGCCGTCCAACCACCAGCTGGGAGGATTGCCGGCACGAGTACTGCATCTCGGGGCGCGTCCTTGCCGAGGGCATCGCGGATCTCGGCGAGGCGTCTCCACGGTCAGCCGTTCGGCACAGCGATGAACGTGGCCTGGCTAATGGTCACGATTGCGCCGAGCATCGCGTCTCGACGCAAGCTGTTCGCTGGACGGGCTGGCTATTCCCCGCATGGAGCATCGCGTCTCTGATTCGGGTTGACTGCTCCGTAGCCGCATCCACGCCATCAAGCGCCGGTGTCACCAGAGCGTCGCACATCGGCAAGGGACGAGCGAGACGTTCTGCCGGGCGCAACGCGGGCGTGTGTACGGAGGACCACGGAGCCGGGCGAGGTCCAGGGTAGCCGAGGATCCAGGTGCCAAAGAAGTTCAGGCTGAATCGAGGATCGCCGAGCGGTGCCGAGCCGTACCGAGCAACGCGCCAGACTCGGACGTGGGCCGCGAGCTCATGAGCTGCAGTGTGCACCCGAGGGTACCTGGCGGTGCCCTGGCCAAGGCGAGGAACGCCGGTGACTGAGCTGCCGCACCGCAGCTGTGGCGAGCAGTATTTCAGCACGGCACAGACGCTGCTGTGCTGGCCAGAATCCGCACGTGGAACCGCTACGCCCGGTAGGTGAAAAAGAGCTCGAGGGTTGAGGCCACGAAGGTAGAGGAAGCGGTGCGCAGCTCGAGAGGACGAGTTCATGGCAGCGTTCCTGAGCCGGACGTGGGACCCGTTCGTGTCGGCCAAGTCGAGCTCAGGTGGTCTGTTCGGGGTCGAGTCCGCCGGCCTGTACAAGGTGCAAGGACGGGGCCTGCTGAATGGCTCCTGCCTGGGTGCAGTGGCCAGGAGCAGGTTCGTGGGCGAGGCCTACCGGGCGTGGTCCATGTGAGCCGGGGCCTGACTCTGGACCTCAGGAGTTGCGACCCTGACTGCTGGGCTGGCCGCGACGTCCGACTAAACGGCGCTGGGCACGGTAGCGCATCCGTGTGCCGTCAGTCGTTCCAGCCATGCCACCTTTGCCCTCGTGCCCGTCGACGACCGCATCATGTCGGGACGACGGGGACCCAAACTGTGAGGCAGCGGTTTCTGCTTGCGAACCGAGAAATATACGCGCTGAACACTGAGTAAGCGTAGCCGCGAGCTCTCCGCATAATAGAGGTCTGACTCTCCTGCAGGTGGCGTGATGCTTTGCGTGTAGGGTTGTATATATAGTTTTATTTTCACCTGCCATTTCCTCTCTAGTGTGCAATATAAAGCTTCTTTTGTTCGCATCAATTGTTGGTGTTAATCCTTTTTCGTCCGCTATTAACAAACATAGTGACGAACGTCCTTAACCATTACAAGGGGTCATGAGCTTGATGGGTGGGGCCCCAAGTGCAGGGCTCCACTGGCTGCAGCCGCCTGCCTGACGTGACGCAGAAGTGCAAGCTGCACCTCTGGGTCAGAACTGGCGAAGGCTTTGAAGGATTCAGCATGCAAGATAGAAGATTGCAATCAAGATAAAAAAACAAGCAAAACATTTTATTGTAAGGGCAGACTTTGAAAGCAAGACTGAGTCCAAATATATATTTGTGCATTGTGTTATAGGGTTTTGTACCGTATGCCGCTGAGTTGCTTGCTCGTTCCCTAGCAGGTGGTTGGCGACGGTGGTGGTGCTCTCAACGTTTCTTTTTCTCTCGCTCTTTTCTTCTTCAAAGTTATCATTCGGCACTTGTCCTATACATTTACAAGTCAGACAGGGAACTTTCGACGTTTACTGTAAGCGCAGTAGGAACATATCGCCTTTTCTTCGTGTTATTTGTATTATGAACCTGGGCATCGTAGTTTCCTTGCTATTAGGTGATCGCTATTGTTAACTCACCACTAAAAATATTGAGTTTATTCAGTGTAATATTATGAACCTTATGTGTGCAAAATTACTTTCGTTTAAGTTTTTTTCTACGACAGATCCCATATGGACACACACGACATCTGGAAACACCAATATAAAATGTTTAGTGGACAAGGTTAACGAAATGGAAACAAAGTCTGTACTCTTCACACGATCTTGCTACAACCGGGGATATAAGTAATATTCTAGACATATCAAACAAAAGATGATTACCTGTATATTTATTCTTCATATATTTTACAGGGTGTCTAGACTGTTTGAAGGAATATTTGATCAAGATCGAAAAAAGCATATGGACGTCATAAATCTAAGTATGTCCGAGAACTCATTTCTACCTTATCATAATCCAATTTCTATCGACATGTTCAGTTTTTAAAATATATCAGTTGATATTTTCAAACATTTCTGCCATTACATTAGACTATATACATGCTATAACCTTGCTCTGTAAGTAGGTAAGTGCTTTAAAAGCGGCATTTAGCTTGTAGCTATAACTATGTACATAAATTAAAAAATTTATCATCATTGCGTCTTTTCATGAGTGGCGTTTGTGGACTTCTGGGACCATAGTTCAGCTCTCTCTCCAAAGCCCTTTGTTTGTCACCGTTATTTTTATAGCAGCGCTGAGAGCATGTAGATCGCTAGTGGTAAATCGAAAACATGGCCGTTCTTGCGTGCAACAAATATCAACGTAATCCAGGCCTAGTACCGACTCAGAGCAACTTGACCCTTATCCACCGTAACACGTTGCCTGAAATATTTTAGGAGCGGGGTGCACCGACATGTAAATCTCCAGTGAACTTGTTCATGTCATCGAAAGAATATCCGCAAACTAAGGCTTTTTTTACACACAGCAATCAGTTAATGAATTTGCAGGAAAGCGTGTAAGCCGTATCTCTGTGAATGACTTCCGAGGAGAAGTTGATAAGGCGGATATGGGGAGCGTGGCCAACAAACTAACGTTATGGAGTGGATATCTGCGCATATTATCAACGCACTCGACGGAAAAGTGTTTGTATCAAACCAGCTATTTTAGAGAAATGAGTAGTCGATAACTGAATTCGGCCCCGAGATTGCATTAATACATAAAATTTAACTAGGCTACACCACATTGGAGCAATTTGAAAATGAAAAATGAATGCGGCTTCAGCACCATCGACCAGAACCCGCCCTTGAATAGAAAATATGCGTCGTAGATTTTCTTTTCATCGCAGGGAGTCAGGATCTTTCATAATCACATAGTATTAATGAAAACTAACTGACAATGATGCCATTAAACATAGAGGGGATGTTATTTTATGTAATCGTAATGTAAATGTGAAGAAATAATAGTGCAAGAATACATAACTTACCACTGGCAGGGACCAACTTTTCTCGACTGTTCTCCAGGGGTCGCAGGTCCCCATAGAAGGTGAAAAAAACGCATTCTGGCTAAGTGGACCATTACCGTATTTTCCTACAATATCCTGTTGCTGTTTGGGTCTAATAGTAAATAAAGCAGCCTTTATAACAGAAAAGAGAAATGAGACAGTTATCAATATTGTCTTTAAAAAGGTCATGAAGACGTCTGAGATGAAGACTGAGCTTGACTGCTGTCAGTGGCCACAACCGATCAAAGTGTGAGATATATTCTCAAATAATACCGCATTGTGAGTCTCCATCGAATGACACAAGCTACAAAAGTTCAAGAAGACATCACTCACAAGATTTGAATAAATAAATTTTCAAGTATGAAAAGTGTGCGCCAAGATTATGCCCAAAGCTTTTCCAGACGACATAAAAACATTCCAGTTAAGCGAGGAAAAACTTTTAAACCTATGTGACAGTCAACCACAGTTGGGTGCCTGAATAAAAAACCCAAAACAAAAATAAAAACAGCCGTATGGCACCCGTCGGCGTACCCTCTACCCAAGAGGCTACCATTACCAAGTCAATAGTAAGCGCCATGCTCATTGTGCTTTTTTTGAAGGCTTGTGCAATGCATTCATACCTTAAGGCACAATCATCACCTTGACATTCCTAGTGAGACTGATCAATAGGCTTAAAGGAACGGTTATGTCATCCGGCCTGACATCGCTGGAGGATGGTAACATCAATAACAATGCACCAGCCTACACGGCCTTCATCATGAGCTTCCTCCTGTTCTATACAGTGGCGCCAAATTTTCCCAATCCGCCTGCATTCCTGAATTCACTCCTGAGACTTTTGTTTCTGAGCTTGCAAGGCTGCCACCAATTCTCCGAAGAACATTCCGTAGGTAATCTACCATGACACCTTCGATGTCAAAACATTTTGCTCGAGGTGGTGAATTAGTGTACGAGGAGCCTATTTTGAAACCTTTGAATTCGTCTTACTGATATGATGAATACAACTTTTTGTAAGTATTCACTGACGTTACTTTCCGCAAATGACAAAGGTACAACACACAAGCCTAAGCGACGCAAATGGCTTCGGAACCACTTTAGTAAAAAAATTGTGCCATAAGAAATTTATTGAATTAAAAAAATCCTTCCTGCCAAGTGGTTTATTTGCCTCTCAAAACAACTGCTTATATATTGGTGTCATTTAGGGAATAAGACTTTTCGGCTTTTAAAATTTTTGCCAGAAAATACGGGTATCGTGTGCAACATGTCTCAGTAACAAAATCACTAATCTTCTGCTTACAGGGAGGGGAATGAACTTTCAAGAGGATCTGCTGTTTGCGACTGACGACTACAGATGCGCAGTAATTATGGTCACGACCACAGTTTGCGGTTAGTTTTCAATTTTCATAGCGCACACAAACTGCTTGCAATACGTTCGCATCACTGTTTGCAACACGTTGAACACCACATTTATGTAGAATATTTTACATGTGTACGAACTATTTAACTATATCAATCATATTTTGCAAAGGCACAAAATTCTTTTCCGGGAGGTTTGCATTACTTCACACGTTCGCTTATAATATTAGTGCTGGAGTTAGTCTCTAGTGATTTCACAGATGACACAGAACAACGTAGGTCAAACAGGAGAAACCTTTCCGCAGTTGGTATTTCTAGTCTAAGGACTGCGACAACGTTGCTGGAAAGGCGAGTTGAATCATCTCAATCATCACACCATTACGAAAGACTACATCGGTATAAACAACACAAGACTGCGAAAAAAAACCACCCCCAGTGCTTTCGCAGCAGTCAAGGCGCAAACTTGATATTACAAGTGAAGCCGTGTGCGTGCGAATGTACACAAGCAACCGCAGGGCCTCTTCTTTTGTTGCTTTCGAGGCACCGTTTCTTAAAAAATTAAAAACTTGGGAGGCTGCCTCCACCAGTCCACGTTTCAGAAAAGTAGGAAGCGCAGCAAAGAGAGCTGGGGGCAGATTGCAAAAAAGGGCTGGTTGCTTCATCGTACTGCCATTGGCCATCACAGGCGAGCATCGTACGACACCGAGTACGAGGCAGCCCTGATGACATCCGTTTATAGGCGTCTACACGTAGACAAATTGATTATATACGTAAAGTAAAAGACATAGGCCTTACTTAGCTATGCATCCTTCTATCATTGGCGCAAAACTAATTTTACCAGAGCAAGTCACCACTGCGCTTTCATCGCGATAGCGTCAAAAAGCTCCTTTCGCTGAAATTCCGGCGTAGGTGTCGGCCTTCGCGTCATTGGTTGTGAGAAATATATCACCTTTTGAGTCACTAAAAAATCAAGAAAGATGAAAATACATGTTTTCTGCGTTTGAGTGGGGATCAAAGACGGTTTGTTGTCGTGGTAAGCAAGTGTTAAACGACACAGCCACGCATGTCTTTAATAATTAAATGCAGTGAAAGTAACTTACTCTGCTTGAAAATGGAGTGCAAGTAACTTTCATGCTATACGAACACACGTGTCTTCTATACATGCTTCTCAATACAACATGAATCATTGCAGTAATAATGCGGAGTATAAGAGTACATTGCCGTCGGGCGTCAGAACATGTGATTGTCCAAGCGACTTCGAACATTAAAGCCAGTCACTCACTACACAAGGCACACATCTTACCACGCCTAATTACTCAAGGCCACTTCGTGGGTGCATAGCAGGTTCAAGAATATTTATTGCACTAAGTGTTTGACGTACACACTAGGGACAGCATATCGCTATCGCTCAAAGGTGAACCTTAAAAGGGCCGTGCAACCATTTTTTTTTTCTTCTGGGCTGCCTTCACCCTTCAGCTTTTAGTTCCTGACCGCGATAGTACTCTGTGAATATAGGAATCTTCGAATGTTCTATTAGCTGTTTCTTCCCTTTTTGTGTACTGCAAAAGTGCATACGTGCGTGTCAGTCTTTTCGGGCTACGACTGAACGCAAACAAATATGAAAGGGTGATGAAAAACATTTTGTGATTTGCTAATAAGACGTAGGCGTTTTCATTACCTATTGAATACCTGTAAATTGACACGTCAAAACGTACGTGCCAGACCCTTTCTTGTAACTACTAATTCAGTATATGGGAAGTCCCACCCAGTGTGTGTGATCATTTAGCACGTGTGCTAAGTGTGCTTGAACTGCTAATGCCGTATGACATGGCACGCACTGTGGTCAAAGACTTCGAGAGCTCAGCAGCCTACGCTGCCATGTTTCTTCAAATTGGTATGCTGAAGCCTACCAGCAGAATACATCATAGCAATGTCTCAATCGTCCGTGTGTGAATCATTTGAGCAATTCGCTAACGCAACACGCTAAACAGCCCGTACTCAGTGCCTTTCTGCTTCATACGACCGCTATGGACGTCATCAAAAGGAACTATTGGTATTCAGCCCTTTCCGTTCATAAAAATTTGCAACGTAACAGTACTTTAGATTGTGCAGTTTCTTCATATCGCGCTTGGCTGTCCCGTTTGCTTTTGTTTTCCCCATCACCACGGCCAGCGACTCCACAAGCACGTTATCATAACTCGGTGGCACGTCCGAATAACGAAAGTAAATTCATAGCTCTCTGGCGGGGTGTTAAATGCGCAGACGGGAGACTAAGTTACTCATGAAGGTGAGAGCAAACAGAAAAGACAGAGGAACGTACACTGTACAGGCACTGCCTGTCCTCTCGCATTCTGATTGCTGTTTTCCTCATCAGTATATTCCAACTAGACAACTTAGCTGTTACAATGTTAAGCTAAATTATTGTTCAACACTCACTAATTGTTCCTCGTTCCACAACAAGCTTTGCAAGAAAGCCAGAATTTACTCTGTTAAGTTCCTTTCTTTTAGTTCTGATACGTGGCGCTAAGCGTCATGTTCTAATAACAACATTCTGCTCTAAAAAAACACAAAGTTTGAATGTGAACTTACTTTTGTTATATATCGTAGGTAACACAATAATCGTACACAAGGCATTAGACCAACAAAATTTCGAAAAGCGATGGGGGGGGGCAAAGGGGGAGAAGGAGAAATAGACGTTTATTTCACGAAACGGTATAGCGGTTCAGGTCACGCTTCTTTCCTAGGCGGGAGGTTTCCTCATTCCAGGAACCTTCTGGCTTTCGCTCCCTCCTTGTCCCTGACTTCAAGACGCCGTTGTTTGTCCTCGTCCTCTGAAGCGAGCTGGGCCTCCCACGTTTGAATACGGTCTTCGTTTGCTTGATCGTGGCATCGCAGGTATTCGGTGAAGGTGACGTGTTTGTATGTGTATTGCATGGGCAGCCAAGGGTCATCTGTGCTAAGGTTAAGTATGCTACAAATTAGGTAGAGATATTCGTCTAATGTTTGACACAGACTGTGCTTGAGTCCACCCTGCGTGTATGTATCACTCGAAGGTATCCCCAGTATGATGCTGTCCTCTTTTTGACCTCTAATTGTAGTGGTGGGATCTAGTTTTCCATGTCTAGCTGGTGGCATGCGTGTCACCACCCCGTTACAAAATGGCATGCTCATGGCATTCGTTGGTTCATCCAACAAATGTGTTCTTTCTCCACACACCTTTTCCCAGGAGAGAAGAAGGCCACCATGCAGGGCTGTGCGGGATAGTACAAATGCTGACGTCACAGTCTCTACAGTATATTTCAACGGCGTATCGCATGTTTAGCGCAGCCCGAACAGGATTATAAACGGGCCCATAGAACTATTTGTGAAAAGTGTATTGGCCAAACTTCACGCCACACATTTCGAAGATTTCTCCGCCAAGTCTTTTCAAAACACAGTTTAGCGACTCCCAATAAGCATTGTGCACTGAAAGATACGAAGATAAAATCTTCCGAATAACTATAAATGTGCCTGCCGACATAAAAAAAATCGCTGCGTCACGTGGAATGTTCGCTGCCGTTAAGCCCGTACCAACCATGACGCTATCCTGCAGAACGTTTACCCAAAGCGAACTAGTGCACACTAGCAAATATTAAATCATGCATAAACAGTTACTCAGAAACTTAAAATACAAATCTAATACAGAAGTGAAAATTTAAAGTATGAGTGTTCACTGATTTGCTTTGGAATCTCTTTAGTGTGCTCTTGTTCTTGCAGAAAAACACAACAATAATATGTGGCATTTTAAGTCCCAAATAATATGTGGCATTTTATGCCCCAAATAATATGTGGCATTTTATGTCCACCGGTGCGTGTGCACCATCTATACGTTTGTCCGACGACAAAGTTTCTTTTTACATAGACAATTTAGATAGCTGACAATGCCCAATTTCATGATATCACGCAGATGGTTCTTCCCTTCACGTGGGCAGAGCGCTGGTACACGCTTTCTTTGTTTTTCCTTTCACCCTACACATATTGGCATGTTTCCATCGAATAAACAGATGTTCACATTCATGTGTGTTCTACCTGTGTCTTCTCTCTCTCTCTCTCTCTCTCTCTCTCTCTCTGTGTGTGTGTATGTGTGTGTGTATGTGTGTGTGTGTGTGTGCGTGTGCGTGTGCGTGTGCGTGTGCGTGTGTGTGTGTGTGTGCGTGTGTGTGTGCGTGCGTGCGTGCGTGTGTGTGTGTGTGTGTGTGTGTGTGTGTGTGTGTGTGTGTGTGTGTGTGTGTGTGTGTGTGTGTGTGTGTGTGTGTGTGTGTGTGATTCAGCGCGTCGCGAGGGTCAACCATCTTCACACAACTAGTCCCAAATATATTTCCTGTAAAAGCATTATCCTAAATGTTCTAGGCAGTAAGGTTTACACAATAGAGGCAGGTGCTCTTACTAAAGTATTACCTTCTTTTTTTCTATTTCACAGGTAGGCACCGTACGTATGACCTACGAATCAGGGGCGCTTATGTTATACTTCGACCTCCAGCAAAGTGCCTCGAAGAATACCTGAAGTACGAAAAGCATGGAAAAGTAATATATGAGCCAAGCTGCCCAAGCATACTTAAGAGACATGAGAAGACGGCGTTGTATGAACCACAAATTGATCGCTGCGGAAATCGCAATAACTGATACCGGTATCATTGGGGATCGACACAAACTTTTATGCAGGTAGTCACAACTGTGAGCGTGAAAATACGTGCGTTAGCAGGCACTCACATTTATATATTCTGGTAAGAATAAATAGTTGTATTAGTTGTTTCGTACACGGCGTCAATGTCAAGTTAAAGCCGCAAATAACATCATATTGTCACGGGGTCGTGACGTGGCTGAAGACAGGAGACTTCGTGTAGGAATTTAACTGTTTATTTGGGCGAATCTGTGCCCGGTAAGCGGAAAGTCCGATTACAGTAACAGTCTTGGACTGATAGCGGCGAACGGAGCGTCGGCCGTCGATCAACTACCCACAAGCGGCGAAGCGCGTCGGCATTCATACTCTTACCGTCGAATGTTCTATCGATATCGCTTGCGGTGGCGTAGGTTACAGAATAATATGTAAAGTTCGCAGAGTGGGCGTGATCTTATCGAAATGATCTACTACAGTCCGGAAGCTTCTCGAAAACTGCAGGCGCGGTTTGCTCTGAGAGTTGTGTAGTGTTTTAGGACGATAACAAAACTTGGGAAATGGAACGTGTCATTGCCCCCCTCAGAAAAAGGCATCGTCCTGATGCTTTAACTTAAGATAAGGTACAACAATAATGCAAGAAAGTACAATGATTAAACTGCGATACAATAATAATACAAAAAACACTGTTTCAGTATGTTAGCGCGCATGAAACGGCTTGAGGCGCGTGACATAGACGACTTCAGGTGGTGATCGGCGTCGTTGAGAGTTCGTAATGCTGTCGGGGACAACCTCGTAATCAAGTGGGCCGAGACGTCAAACCACCCTGTATGGTCCGAAGTACCGTCGCAGAAGCTTTTCACTTAGTCCACGTCAGCGTATCGGCGTCCACAAACCAACTTGTTCACCGGGCTGGTATTCCACGAAGCGTCGTCGAAGATTGTAACGGCGGCTGTCGGTCGTCTGTTGATTCTTGATACGGAGACGCGCGAGTTGTCGGGCTTGTTCAGCGCGTTGAAGGTACTCACTCACATCGAGCTTTTCTTCGTCGGTGAGGTTGGGTAACATGGCATCGAGCGTCGTTGCTGGGCTCCTTCCGTAGACCAATTTGTATGGACATATCTGCGTCGTCTCCCGCACCGCCGTGTTGTATGCGAAGGTCACGTACGGAAGAATAGCGTCGCACGTCTTGTGTTCGACATCGACGTACATTGCCAGCATGTCGGCGATCGTCTTGTTAAGCCGCTCGGCGAGACCATTGGTCTGTGGATGGTACGCTGTCATCCGGCGGTGGGTTGTCTGGCTGTATGCCAAGATCGCTTGGGTTAAGTCGGCAGTAAATGCCATTCCTCTGTCGGTGATAAGGACCTCTGGGGCGCCGTGACGTAGGACTATATTTTCGACGAAGAATTTAGCTACCTCGGATGCACTGCCTTTGGGATGGGTTTTTGTCTCGGCGTAGCGGGTGAGGTAGTTAGTAGCTACCATGATCCACTTGTTTCCGAAAGCCAGCGTCGGATCGGTGAGGTAGTTAGTAGCTACCATGATCCACTTGTTTCCGAAAGCCAGCGTCGGGATCGGCCCCAGTAGGTCCATACCAATCTGCTGGAAAGGTCGGCAAGGTGGTTCAATTGTCTGCAGAAGTCCCGCTGGCCTTGTCGGCGGTGTCTTGCATTGCTAACAGTCCCGGCATGTCCTCACATAACGAGTTACGTCGGTGGTAAGACGTGGCCAGTAGTACCTTTGTTGTATCCTCGCGAGCGTGCGAGATACACCGAGGTGCCCTGCCGTCGGATAATCGTGCAGGGCCTGCAGGAGTTCTGGGCGCAGAGCTGAAGGCATCACAAGGAGGTACTTAGCTCGGAGCGGTGAAAAGTTTTTCTTTTGTCGAAGACCGTTTCGCAGGAAGAACGACGCAAGTGCGCGCTTGATTACTTTTGGGACTTCGGCGGTCCTGCCTTCGTGGTATTTATTCTATTAGGGCCTTAAGTTCCGGATCGGAGCGCTGTCGTTTAGCGAAGTCGTCGTTAGTTATCGTTCCCAAGAAGTAGTCGTCATCCGGGTCGTCGAGTGGTGGTTGGTCGACAGGCGCACGAGAGAGACAGTCAGCATCGGAGTGTTTCTTGCCGGACTTCTAAATGACGGTCATGTCATATTCATGAAGTCTCGGGCTCCACCGTGCGAGGCGATCTGAAGGGTCCTTCAAGGTGACTAGCCAACACAAGGCGTGGTGGTCACTCACAACTTTGAAGGGCCTACCGTAGAGGTAGGGGCGAAATTTCGAAGTAGCCCAGATGAAGGCGAGGCACTCCTTTTCTGTTGTGGAATAATTGGCTTCTGCTTCGGATAGTGATCGGCTGGCGTAACTAATAACCCTTTCAAGTCCGTCAGCCCTCTGCACAAGAACGGTGCCAAGACTTACGCTGCTTGCGTCAGTGTGTATTTCTGTCTCGACGAATTTGTCGAAATGGGCAAGTAACGAAGGCGTCTGGAGGTGATGTTTAAGCTCCTGGAAAGCGTGTTCCTGTGGCGTTTTTCACTTGAACTCTACGTCGGCCTTTGTAAGGCTAGTGAGAGGATCGGCGATGCGGGCGAAGTTTTTCACGAACCGCCTATAATAGGCGCACAGGCCCAGAATTCGGCGCACCACCTTCTTGTCAGTGGGCGGCGGGAAGTCGGCGATGGCTGCTGTTTTCCGTGGATTGGGACGGACTCCAGACTAGCTAATAACGTGCCCCAGAAACAAGAGCTCCTCGTACGCGAATCTGCACTTTTCTGGCGTCAGTGTGAGTCCAGACGTCTTGATCGCTTGAAGTACAGCTTCAATGCGCCGAAGATGCTCGTCAAAACTCGAGGAAAACACGACGACGTCGTCCAAGTACACAAGGCACGTGTGCCACTTCAGTCCTGCTAGTACTGTATCCATAATGCGTTGAAAAGCTGCAGGCACTGAGCAAAGACCAAAGGGCATCACCTTAATCTCGAAGAGGCTGTCTGGTGTTATAAACGCCGCCTTCTCTCGGTCTCTTTCATCGACGTCAATATGCCAATAGCTAGTCTTGAAGTCCATTGACGAAAAGTACTTGGCGTTATGGAGCCGATCAAGTGCGTCGTCTATTCATGGAGAGGATAGACGTCCTTTCTTGTGAATTTGTTCAGGCGGTGATATTCGGCGCAAAAACGTAGGGTCCCATCTTTTTTCTCCACTAACACCACAGGGGATGCTCATGGACTCTTGGACGGCTGGATAATGTCATCCTGCAGCATTTCATCAACTTGTCTCTTCATGGCCTCACGTGCTCGCGTCGAAACCCTGTACGGACTCTGACGGAGTGGTCTGGCATTTTCTTCGGTTATAATACAATGTTTCGTAATTGGGGTCTGCCGAATTTTTGATGACGACGAAAAGCAATCTTTGTATTGCAGAAGCAGAGCCTTGAGCTGTTCTTGCTTATGGTTCGGAAGTCTTGGATTGACATCGAAAGCTATGGGAGGTGCTTGGTTCCTCTGAGCAGGTTCCGCAAAATCGGCGAGGGCGAAAGCACTGGTGGCTTCGACAATATTTTTGATATATGCGACCGCTGTTCATTTGTTCACATGTTTGTACTCATTGCTGAAATTTGTGAGCATAACTGTTGCTTTGCCTTCCCGCAGCTCTGCATGTTCTCTTGCGACGCAAATATTTCGGGGGACCAACAGATGCTGACTGCCTTCAACGACGCCTTCCAAGTCAGGTGATTCAGGAGCGCTGACTGAAATAATCACGCTTGAGCGAGGCGGAACGGTGACTTGTTCTTCCAGCACATTCCGGGCATGGTTTCCTGACGGCGTGCGCGGTGGTAGTGCTTCTTCTGTAGATAACGTTATCTAATTTGTTTTTAGGTTCATGACAGCACCATGGAGGCATAAGAAGTCCATGCCAAGGATGAAATCTCTCGAGCAACGCTGTAGGACTACGAAGTCTTCAGGATAAATACGGTCGTTAATGGTGACTCTCGCTGTGCAGATTTCTGAAGGCGTTACTATATGACCTCCGGTTGTGCGGATTTCACTGTCTTCCCAAGCTGTCCTAACTTTCTTTAACTTAGTGGCGAACGACCCACTGATGACGGAATATTCGGCCCCAGTATCGACGAGATCGGTCACACTGTGGCCGTCGATAACAACGTCGAAGTCGCTAGTTCGCCGTCTCGTGTTACAGTTAGGTCGTGGCGTCGGGTCACGGCTGCATCAGCTTCTTCCGCTGCTTCCATATTGCGTCGTCAGGTTACCTTCGGTAAGTGAGGTTTCGCCGTCAGGACTTTGCCTGCATGGCGTCGTGTTCGGAAAACTTCGTAGCGGCGTCGTCGTCGTCAGAGGATCTTCGGTAGTTCGTCGCACAGCAACCGCACCTCCATCAGTTGCTGCCCTTAGTTTCCCGGATACGGGCTAAGAGACCGACCCCGCGTTGTGCCAGAGTACTGCCGGTGGTGCGGTGACGTACGGCGGCTGGGTGACGGCGAACGGGAAGGACTTTGTTGTGTCCACAGGGTTCCTGTCAGATAGTCAGCGATGTCACGTGGCCGTTCTCCTGGCTGCAGACGTGGTGCATTTACGGCGAAGCCACGCAGTCGCATCTGTCGGTACTGGCAACGGCGGTATATCTGCCTGGCTCGCCGCAGTGGTAGCAGAGTGGGCGGTGGTCAGGGGTGCGCCAGACGTCAGTCTTTCTCGGCGCACTGCGCTGGGCCGCTGGCGAACGGTAGAACGTCCGTGGGTGTGGTGGCGGCGTTGGCATCTGGTGACGGAAGTGCGATGGGGCAGCGTTTTGGCGTGCGCGTGGAGGAGGGGCGTGGCAGCGGGCTGCACCAGCATAGCTCATGGCTTGCAGATGAGGCTCTCGAGACTGAGGAACGTCCAGTGATTGCTGGATTTCTTGGCGTATGACGTCAGCGATGGATTCCACGTGAGGCTGCGCTGAAGGAAGTAATTTTCGCAGCTCTTCTTGCACGATCGCTCGGATCGTCTCACGCAAGTCAGTGGTTCGAAGCGCTTGAACGCCGGCCAATCTTGTAGACGAGAAGCTACGGTTATATTGCCGCGT